AAAAAAAAAAAAAAAAAAAAAAAAAAAGGTGTATCCTTTTCCTCTGCTGTTGACCCGAATCCAGTCAAAGCCTTTGTTCCCATATTCTATTATCCATTCGACAGCCTGGATAACAGAATTATGAGGTAATTTAGAAAACATGTCTTTAATATCGTAGGCAACCCCTTGTACTACTGGAGACTGAATCCGACCTATGGAAGTATTAACTTGGCTTATTCTATCCTTGATCAAGGAAGTGGACTTCATATTGAAGTGGGAGGAAGGAGGAAGTTTCCATAACAGACCATTGATGGCCTTACCTACAATCGAGTCAACTCGATTGGCCGGATCTGAAAGGCGGGACAGATTGGTCACCATCGTTGGATGTCCTTATGTTTTGGGATAACATAGCAATTCCCAATACTACCTTGTTTTTTCCAATCGCCCAGAACGTGGAAACCTCCAGTGACGAACTCAGCCCTGTACTGTTTAATAACCTCATCATCATTAAGGGAGACCTTTTCATAAGCATCGTTACGACAAAACAGACTGTCCATAGCACCCTGGTATACGACTGGACAGCAGAAAAGCAAATCACCAAGGTTATGATCGATGGGAGAACAGACTAGAGTTCCAAAATTAAGACGAAGATCGAGGACAGAGGTTAGAGGCAGATACTCAGGATTACATGGTTTATGTCGATTGAAACAGTCGGACAATCGATGATTAGAGATAAAAGGATTCAGACCAACAAGCGAAAAGGCAGAGAGGATAGATTGTCGAAGCATCCGATCGGACACAGTTTGGTCAGGCTGAGGGATATTCCGACTGTTGTACAGAGAAGGAGTAAGACTTGGAATTTCAGAGAGGCGGAAACATACATGACCATTGATACCAGTACAGAATTCAACCTTGACCTCGGAACACAGACAATCTGAGAACCCATTCTTAGCAAAAATCGATGGTTAGCTAACAACATCTGAACAGATTTCCGTTTCTGAAAAACAACTCTAATTCGTTTGGCAAAAAAGTTAATCACTTTATCGTTCTTGATCTCAGTGGCAAGTAGTTCTTTGCACAATTCCAACACCCGTCTTTGGCAGATTGAAGGGTCGAAAATAATTTTGACAGTGATTCTAGACCTGAAACAGAAACCCGTTTTGCGTGAGATAGCTCTCGTCAAGATACCTTTCAAGATAGCCCGTTGTCTCAAGTCATCGATCAGACAAACATTCAAATACAAGTCAAGCAAATGATCGCATGCCAAGTAATGCAACTCTTTCCGTGTTTGCGGTGCCCGAAGAAATCCTATCAGATTAGCCTTCTTCCATTCAAAGACGAAGAAACGAGGTCTAAAGCAAGAGATGCTAGCAGCTCCGCCATTCTACAGTAGTAGTCTAGATCTCCGTAGGAATCTGTGATCCTTGTCGATGCTAACGATCGCATTGTCGAAGAGGCGTTTCACAATCGACCATCTATCCAACCACCAATTCCCTTGGGCACTAATCACCTTACATTGCTTGATCCCCAAATTATATGCGTGTGTTAACATTTGTACCAATGAGAACCCCTGAGTAATACATTGATCTGACTTGTCCAGAAGCTGAAAATGAATTTAAGTGTCCTGTTGAAAGGCCTCAACACTTAATCGCCTAGTTTTTCTACGTTCCGTCCTACCAGGTCGTGTGTTTTTAACCCTGTGAAATTTCCTCTTTGTATTAAGAGCAGGGCACCAACGCCGAATCAAGCCCTGTTCCACTGACTCTAATTCCTCCCTTTTTGCAGAGACGAGTGGAAGAGCAATATAAGAGTCCCAACCCTTCTTATTAAACCAAGACTTCAGTTCGTGATTCGTACCATCGATTCTATCTACCCCGTACACATGTTCAGTCCATCTCTCATCTAATGATCGCTGGGTCTTCCCAATGTAACAGGCCCTGTGCCATGGGGAAACCAGGATATACGTACAACATTCAAACTTCGACCAATCCTGTTCTTGTCGTAACCAGCTGACCCAATAGTCCTGAAATTTGTTGAGCCACGGGAAGGCCCCGCAAAAAATCAAAAACAACATAACCCATCGTAAAACTAGTTCACACCGTCGCCAACCCTTCCTAGCCTGTATTCTCAGATGTTTCCTTACCCGAATAACCTTCCCCAATAACTTCATCATAAACAGACAGTCAGAAGAAGCCGTAGCTAGGACACAACCGGATGAACGTCTCGAACAGTTGGTTGATTACCTGGTCCGAAGGCAATCAGAGCCCGAATTTCAGCCAACTCAGCAGCAGTGGTCTGCTTGGTGACATATGTGATGTCATCCTTCTTGCAGAGTTCTTGCAACTCTGGCTTCGTCATCCGAAGAAGAATCTTCTGAAGTTCTTCTATGTATCGTTCCCTGGCACCAGGTCCGCTGCCTGCGACAACCGCTTTTCTCCCCTGGAGAATCCGGTCGAAGCCCAGTCCAGAGCACAACCCATGTTGCGGAGCGGATTGGTTTGCCCGTTCGTCCTGCATGGCCGACACAAAGAGTCGAGATAGTGATGCCGTCGTACCTCGATTTCGGAGGGTCGAAGGAGCAGGGGCAGGAGTACCTGGGGGAGGAATAAGAGTGGAGGCGGGAGGGACCATGGTGGGGGCCGGAGGAGGTGGAGGAGGAGGGGCCCGTGAGGAGGTGGCAAGAGGTGGTTGGACGTGAATGGGAGAAAGGGTCGGTGAGGAAGGAGTAGGTACCACTGGAGAAGGGGGAGGGGGAGGGGGAGAGGGACGTGATGAGGAAGATCGAGACGGGGATGGAATCGGGGTTGGTGCAGAGGGAACAGGAATGGAACGTCGGACAGGAGTGAATCGTGATGAGGGATGTGATGGGGTCGAAGGTGTCGACGGGTGGGGAGGAGGAGGGGGAGGGGGAGGGGGAGGGGGAGGGGGAGCGGAAGTTGGTGGAAAGCGAGTGCGTTCGGCCTTCATCATGGCAATATCCTGACAGATGCGCTCCAGGACTCCCTCAGCTTTGTCTCGGAAACGACGGAGGTTGTCCATCTCCATAGCCATTAATCCGCAGGCTAACCCGTCTGGTCCATCCATCTTTTGCTTGCCTTTGGCAGGCTCCGAAGGTGATCCCTTGGTCTCCATAGTCTTCCTCTTCTCGCTCTCCAGAGCGGTAAGCCGACCCTTGATCTCCTTTTGTAGATCAGAGTTGGCGTTACCTCGACCGATTTTCTCGATTTCTTGCCACATCTTCTTGTTATCTTCGTTGACCTTAGTCATCAGTTCAATCCCAGAAGTAGAGTCTCGGTCCTTATTCGAAATAGCCGAATCGATGATCGCCCTCATTCTCTGCTCCTCCTCTATCACCTTCCTTTCTTTCTCCAGCTTCTTCTTCTCTTCCTCTTCGGCTGCCCGTTTTTCTTGTTCCACCTTCTCTTTATCCTCAGCTTCTTTCTTTCGTCGCTCCTTCTCTTCCCTTCTCTCATTCACTAGTTCCATCAAAAGTGCTGACATGTCCGGATCTCGTTGGTAAACCGCGTTACGTGGTCTGTCGTTTCTCCAGTTCGGCGGGTTGTTAATGCCAGCATAACCGCCGCAACTCCAGAAGATGAACCCGAGGTCGGCGTCGTGGAAGAGATAGGAGGAAGAGGAGGAGGAGGAGGGGGGGAAACGGTGTTCATAGAAAATGTTGAACGTTAGATGGAGCGGGTAATAGGGGAGGTCGGGAGGAGGAGGAAGGGTGATTAGCACGTACTTGAGCCACAATCGAACAATCCCAAACCCAGTGGCTATAATCGCCACAAGCCAAACAAGGCTTCGGAGCGGGAGGGGGATTTCCGTAATTAGCCATCGCTACTACCGCTTTAACAACCAATCGATAGAGCCACAGAAAAAGTAAACCCAAAGCTATCCCTACAATCATCCGGCAAGATTCAGAGGATAAGAACCTTATGTCATAGAGGTGACACCACCACTGTCAGTCAAACCAGCGTAGCACAGAACAAATGACTTCCCACCAAGAGAAGTCGATACTTAACAGGTTAGCAATCTACTACATGTTGTGAATGGTCAACCATCGGTATCTCAAACCAACACGGGACTCTATGCATGCACGCGACGTAAATCAGAATGGGTGGGAGAAAACACCATCGACAAGAGTTAGTCAAGGTCTTCAGCTTAGATAAACTTGGAGTACATCGAAGGTCAAACGAAAAAAACGCAGCTATGTCGCGGCGGACTCAACTCAGCTCATTAGACCTTCCTCTGGCAGCTTCCCGACACATGTTTCGACCCATGCCAGAACGTCGGTCATCCTCAGAGGAGGAGCAACCTTGACGGAGATAGAGAAACCGTTCGTAGAAACTAGCCTATATACTGCCCCCGTCTCTGGTATGAGCCAACCGGTACCTGGGTTCCAAGAACGTGTTCATACGAAGCGTCTAGAAGCCTCTATTGGGGGTCAAATTTCCTCGGAAAAAGGTCCGATCCATAGAGAAGTCCCGGAAGAAAAGAGAGACCCTACTGTTGTAGTTGTACCTACAAACAGCACGGGCGAGAAGTCACGTTTAAAGATACAAAAGATCACCTTCCTTAAACCACCAGTACTTGGCCCAGCTATGGGCGGCGGAAAAAAATAGAGTAGAAACGTTTCTAGTTGGATGAATTTGGGCGCTCCTGTAGTGGGCCGTACGTTTCCTAAACTCGCGTAGCGTTAACGGGAACGACTTTAGGAAGTACTGGTGGTTTAACTATAAAAAATCTTATGAAAAAAGGCACTGTTTTTGGGAAACTCAATGGCATAGATTTCGCCTTAAAATAATTATATAAAAAAAATAATTAAAAAACTCTATGGATTGATGGAACAGAGTTGGCAATTGAACTGGGCATGCTTCTTTCTTTCGTCCCCTTTTTTTTTTTTTTTTAATTGAACTGGGGATCGGGCCCTGTGTCTCTTTGGTGCACACCTTTCTATTCCGTAGTTTGTAAGACATCATGAGATTGGGGAGTTGACGAGGCTTTAAACAATGTGCAGAATTTTTTTCCCAAAGTTTGTGAATCTTAATAGTGGAAAAAAAAAAAAAAAAAAAAGTTGTTACATTTTAAACAAAAAAATAAAATTTAAAGTTTAATAAACAAGGAAGTTGATCAAACCTTTTTTTTTTTTTTTTTTTTTTTTTGGGCGGGGATCGAACTTCGGACAAGAACTCTTTTTTTTTTTTTTCCAACAACCACAATGATATCACCAGCAAAAGGGCCGAGGTCCCACTAGCAAAAAGGATAGGATGGAGCTCCTGAATCTGGATGTGTTTTATGCACAGAAGCAGAAACGCAGTTCAATCTCTATTTCCTGCACATCTCCATAACCTCGTCCAGATTCAGGCATTCTATCCGATCCTCTTTGCTAGTGGGACCACGCCCCAGAAGCAAGTCCATGGAAGAGTTGGGTAAATAAACCCGTGGTAAGAAGAAGAAWAAAAGATATCCGGCAGACCAAAAAAAAAAAAAAAAAAGGATATCTGCCAGATCAAAGAGAGATTGGAAAGCAAAGCTCTTTGCTCTACTGCCGCAATGCATTTTTATATATATATATATATATATATATATATAATCACTGTGCTGTCACAATTTGGACAAAAATCTGGATGAAATCATGGCAGCAATCCCTCCCTGGGCCTCACCGCACCCTTCACCAAGTACACAAAAGACAAAATTGATGGAGGCGTATCTTTCCATGTTCTTCAAAGAGATTCATTCTAATTTTGTCCATTTGGAGAGTAGAGCGGCAAGGGCCTTTCGTATCCGCGGAACCCTAATGAAAATGTCCAACATTTGAGGAAGGCGATTGGGTAGGAGGGGAAAAAGAGGGGAAAAAAAAGGGAAAAAGAAGAAGATGGAAAGATACAGAGGCAGTTGACGATGTGCGATGAATACACATGGCCAGGAGATTAGACTCTACACTACCGTCTTCCCCCGAACAGAATGCACCCTCATTTTGGCCGCAACGAAACTGGAAAGATAGCTCTTAGACACTGGTTATATCAGGGTGCGTTGTGTTCCGGGGAAGTGAAGCAGTGAAGCAACATTCATGCAAGTGAAGAACACTTCGCCAAAAGAGAAGGAAAAGAAAAAGAGAGGAAGACAAGAGACAGAAACCCCGGAGCGCATCAATGAAAAGATATGCAATGAATCACCATGGAAAAATCGACGCAAAGCGCCATAGTCGTGAAGCTCGGCTGACAGACTACCGTACCGGCCAGGCCGTCAGAACACCGGCCATCTTCAGGGGCAAGCATTGGTGAGATAAGAGGAAAAGACAGGTCCCAAGTACCAATCATGGACAGGTCCCAAGTACCGAGATAGGACGAAAATCCTTCTTTTTTTTTTTTTTTTTTTTTTTTTTTCCTGCTTCAACAGTTAGGAGTGATGGTATGAGTATAATCTTGCTTTCCCAAAAAAAAAAAAAAAAAAAAAGTATAATCTTACGGGGGGCTCCAGTCTATTGGTGGGGAGCTACACCTGCTGGAAAGCGGGTCCAGCGTCACTTCATTCAGGTACAATTGGAACAATTGAGCCACATTTGCTGCACACCAGGGGCGTGGTCCCACTAGCAAAGAGGATCGGATAGAAATCCTGAATCTGGCCATTTTGTTTGCAGAGATACAGAAAAGCAGTTCGATCTCGATTTCCTGCTCCTGTCCTCAAACAGGTCCAGATTCAGGCATTCAATCCGATGCTCTCTTGCTATTGGGACCACGGCCCAGGCGCAGCGCCCTCCATGAGTTCAACGGATGAAACAGATGAAACTAATGAGAATATCACCAAGAATAGAATGGAGCCATCTGAAGATTCCACTAGCTGTGGATGCTCATATCACCACAGGTAATGCCGACTCTGATGTTAAAAGAAAACAAAAAAAAAAAACACTAATGAGAATAGTAACTTAAGTTTGTGCCTCTTCACCCACCCTGGGCGCCAACATCAACCATAAAATCTCTGGACAAAGCAACTACCTTCTTCACCCTATTCTGAATACAACCCATGGTCATTATTGTTGTATTTAGATGGAAAGATACGCCAAATACAGCTATAATGACCGTACAATAGCCATTTCGTCGAAATGGACATCTTTTATTTTTTGAACGAAATTGAAACCCATGTACAGCCAGGGGGTCCAGCTATTGTAAAACGTTGGACCCTCAGGAACAGCAAAATTTGACGAGTTTTCGGCCAAAAAACTCAGTTTCAATTTCGTTCAAAAAATAAAAAATGTCCATTTTGACGAAATGGTCGTTGTACGTTCTATTCGGGTGAAGAAGGTAGACGGAGAGGGACAGGTCCCAAGTACCGATGCCCAGAAAAGTAAGTAAACCAGGACTAGGACTACAGTTGGGCATGAGGACTTGTAGAGAGATCTGGGGATGCTATGCGGGGGCATCCTAAGGGAGAGCTGGGGGTTGCTGACAGAGGACCCATGCCCAGAAAAGTAAGTAAACCAGGACTAGGACTACAGTTGGGCATGAGGACTTGTAGAGAGATCTGGGGATGCTTTGCGGGGGCATCCTAAGGGACAGCTGGGGGTTGCTGACAGAGGACGACAGTGGTCGGAGTTGGAGTCTCAGTGAGTCGTGTTGCTCTGTAACCTACTAGCGGATAGGGGGCGTGAGGCCTGGATGAGTTTGTCAGAGAATGAGTCAGTTTTGGCGAGC